TTGAAGTGCATTTTTAAAGTAACTCAATTTATTGAGATTTAATTGAGATTTATAGGGATTTTAAGTAGTATTGAGACAAACTCACTATACTCTTAAAACTCCTATGAATCTTAATAAAATCCCAATAAATTTATCTGTTTTCTTATTACTTTGTCTGAAAAGTAATTTACATAGTTTTTTATTTTTTATTTTTTTTAAGAAACTCAATTTATTTATAAGATTTATAAGGATTTTAAGTAGTACCGAGTTTTATTGAGTAATTAAATTACTTTTTTTTGATAAGTAACAAGAAAAGTAATTTAATAAGAATCAATATAAAATTCCTATGAAACCTTTATAAATTGAGTTACTTAAAAAAGCATATAATTATTTAGACAAAGTAATTTAAATACATTTTTTGAAGTTACTCAATTTATTGGGATTTTATAGAGATTTATAGGGATTTTAAGTAGTATTGAGTCTTATTGATTAATTAATTTTTTTTGGATTAGTAATAAGAAAAGTAATTTAAATACTCAATAATTAAGACTCAATACTATTTAAATCCCAATAAAACCCCTATTTTTTCTCATTTGTCTGAAAAGTAATTTAAGTATATTTTTAAGTTACTCAATTTATTCATATTTAATTAAGATTTATAGGGATTTTAAGTAGTATTGAGTATTATCGAGTAATTTCAATACTTTTTAGACAAACTAATTTGAGTCCTATAAACGTCCTATATTTCGCAATAAAATCTAGAATTTTTTTTCTCATTCCTTTTTCTGAAAAGTAATTTAAATACATTAAGTAACTCAATTTATTGGGATTTTATTAAGATTTATAGGAATTTTATGCACTATTGAGTCTTGAGTAATCAAATTACTTTTTTTAAACAAGTAAGAAAAGTAATTGAAGAAAAGTAATTTAATTTTGTAATTTAATTACACCATAAGTAAAACTCAATACTATTAAAATCCCCATAAATCCCAATAAAACCCCTATTTTTTCTCATTTGTCTGAAAAGTAATTTAAGTATATTTTTAAGTTACTCAATTTATTCATATTTAATTAAGATTTATAGGGATTTTAAGTAGTATTGAGTATTATCGAGTAATTTCAATACTTTTTAGACAAAGTAATTTGAGTAAGACTCAATATCCTTAAAAATCCTTAAAATCCCTATAAATTTATTTTCTCAATTTGTCTGAAAAGAATTTTAAGTACAGTTTTTTGAAATGTCTCGATTCATTGGGATTTTATTTAAATTCATAGGAATTTTAAGATGTATTGAGTCTTAAGTTTTTTAATTTACACGAAAATTAAGACTCAATACTACCTAAAATCTGAATAAATTGAGTAACTTCAAATTACTTTGTCTGAAAAATTAAATCTTGTGTTTTTAATACAGTTTTTGAAGTAACTTGCCCAACACTGATGCAGTTGCTTTAATATTTCTCCTCAAAAGTGACTTGAATGTTCAAATCAAAAGGCCTGTTTGTGTACTTTTGGCCATAATAGGATTTACAGAAAGGCAATGGAAAACACTTTCTCAATGTGTACAAATACATGAAACGAGCACTTTTTATATTCCTTTAGTCATCATTAACCACAATACTAATCATTCTAGTTATTTAAAGACGTGAAACGTGAGGCCTGAGAAACAACAAAAATATGGCACGGTTTTGAAATAAATGGCAATTTGCATTGCAAAATAACAAAGTTACTTTGAGCTGCTAGAGGAGTGGACTTTGGAACAGTCAATGAATTTTAACCTCACATTGTTTTTTTACTTACAAAAAAGTTTGTTCATGCACCATCGGCAGGCAGAAATTATATGTACACACACACACACACACACACACACACACACACACACACACACACACGCACACACACGCACACGCACACACAAACATCCTAAGAGTTTAACTCAAATACTGAGGATAGTAAAATAGATCAAAGTCTTCTGAAAACCCATGCTGGAGTTTATCGCTGTATTAAACCTGCATCTAAAGAAATGCGCAGCAGAGGTTTATATTTGGCAAAGGTTTTAAACAGATTGCACTATTGTCATTTTTTTAAGAGGTCGCTTGACTTTTCTTGGAGATGAAATGAACTTTGGCAGTACCTTATAAACTGCAACTCCCGTGAAATACTAACAACAACACTGATGCGATACAAGCCTGCCGCTTTTGATCCTCACAGAAAATAACATTGAATGGCACATCATGGAATAATCTGGCATCATACAAAATGATTTCTGGAAGAAGAAAAAAATACTTTGTGCACTCTTAAAACAAACAAAAAAAAAAAATGCTGGGTTGTTGTAACCCAATATTGGGTCAAATGTGGACGATACCAGTGACGGGTTTTTAACCAAATTTAAATGACACTTTTTAACCCAACTGTTGGGTTTTTCCATATTAGTGTCAAAAATATTGATACGTAAATATTTAAAACTGTACAAGCTTGTCTTTGATTTGTATCAATAATGTTTGGTTCTCTCACTTGTTGAGTGTGTATATGTGTGTGTTTTGTCCCCTTTTTTGTCCTTTAAATCTCTAAAGTTGATAGGTAATCTCCCTCAAATCGGTCAAATATATATTGGTAATTAGTTAATTTTTTTAAGAATTGATTATGAATTAGTTAATTTAAAAAATCCATGTTAGTTCTGATCCATTTAATAATAATAGTTAATAATACACTCTAAAAAACACAGGGTTAAAAACTACCCAAATTGGGTTGTTTTTAACCCCACTGCTGGGTAAATATGGGACAGAACACAACAGGGGTTAAATTAACCCAATTAATTGGGTTATTATTTTTAACCCCATAAATGGTTTTCTCTACCCAATAATTGGTTATTTTTACTTAAATAATAGCTTAATTTGATCCAAAAATGCCTGGAAAAGATGACCCAGCAATTGTGTTGGTTTGACCCGGCATCACTAAAGTACGGTGAGGGATGTGCAGCTTTGATTAAAGGTATACAAAAGGTGCTAGTAATAAATTTTTAAATTCTGAAAGGTCTGTTATGAGCATAAATCTCATTTTAATCATCTGAAAATGCAAGGAATCTGCGTTTATGTTACACTATTTTCATTGCATTTAAACAAATTACACAATATGTGGTATCCCAGTCAGCCCCTGCTTTGAGTTGATTTGACCCAGCTGGGTTTAAACTACCCAAGACTCTGAAAATAGCCCCCAAAATTACCCAAATGCCTCAACCCAAGATTTGGGTAGAAAAAAATAACCCCATATTTTTTAGAGTGTAATATTAAGATGTGGACTGGTTGGGAATACTCCCATTAAGTTCTGTTGGCATCATTGGACATGAACCTTCAGCATGCACTGGAGCGGTTTGCTGCCGAGTGTGAAGCGGCTGAGATGAGAATCAGCACCTCCGAGGCCATGGTGCTCCACTGGAAATAGGCGTCTTGCCATCTCCAGTTTGGAGGAAAGTCCTTACCCCAGGCGGAGGAGTTCAAGTATCTTGGGGTTTTGTTCTCGAGTGAGGGAAGGATGGAGCGTGAGACTGACAGGCGGATTGGTGCAGCGGCAGCATTACTGGTCTGTTGTGGTAAAGGAGCTTAGCCAAAAGGCAAAGCTCTCCATTTACCGGTCAATCTCCGTTCCTACTCTCACCTATGGTCATGAGCTTTGGGTCATGACCTAAAGGACAAGATCTTGGATACAAACGGCCGAAATGAGGGTGGTAGGGTGAGGAGCTCTGTCACACCGGAGGAGCTCGGAGTAGAGCCGCTGCTCCTCCACATTGAGAGAAGTCAGCTGAGGTGGATTGGGCATCTGTTTCAGATGCTTCCTGGACACCTACCTAGGGAGTCGTTCCAGGCAGGTCCCACCGGGAGGAGGCCTCGGGGAGGACCCAGAACATGCTGGCCTGGGAACGCCTAGAGACCAATACCGGTTACTCATTGAAGCTAAGCAGAAGCTACCTGGATGGGAGACCACATGGGAAAACTAGGTTGCTGTTGGGAGTGGTGTTAGTGAGGCCAGCAGGGGGCGCTTAACCTGAGAGTCCTAATGCCCCAGTACAGTGAAGGAGACACTATACTGTCAGCGAGCGCCGTCTTTTGGATAAGACGTTAAACCGAGGTCCTGACTTTCTGTTATCATTAAAAATCCCACGGCACTTCTTTCTCCAGAAGAAAAAATAATATCAGACATGCTGTGAAAATTTCCTTGCTCTGTTAAATGTTATTTGGGAAATATTAAAATAAATCAAAACCAAATCAAAGGGGTTCTAATAATTCTGCCTTCTGTGTGTGTGTGTGTGTGTGTGTGTATGTATGTGTATATATATATATATATATATATATATATATATATATGTGTGTGTGTGTGTGTGTGTGTGTGTGTGTGTGTGAGTGTGTGTATGTATGTAAATGTGTGTGTGTCTGTGTATTTATGTATGTATATATAAATTTGTGTGTGTGTGTATTTATTTATGTATGCATATATTAATATGTGTGTGTGTGTATTTATGTATGTACATATAAATATTTGTGTGTGTGTGTGTGTGTATTTATGTATGTATATATAAATATGTGTGTGTGTGTGTGTGTGTATTTATGTATGTATATATAAATGTCTGTGTGTGTGTGTGTGTGTGGGTGTGTGTATTTATGTTTGTATATACGCGTGTGTGTGTGTGTGTGTGTGTGTATGTATGTATGTATATATAAATATGTGTGTGTGTGTGTGTGTGGGTGTGTGTATTTATGTTTGTATATACGCGTGTGTGTGTGTGTGTGTGTATTTATGTATGTATATATAAATATGTGTGTGTGTGTGTGTGGGTGTGTGTATTTATGTTTGTATATACGCATGTGTGTGTGTGTGTGTGTGTGTGTGTGTGTGTGTGTGTGTGTGTGTGTGTGTGTGTGTGTGTGTATGTATATTCATGTTTGTTTATACGCGCGTGTGTGTGTGTGTGTATTTATGTATGCATATATAAGTGTGTGGGTATATTTATGTATGTATATATAAATGTGTGTGTGTGTGTGTGTGTGTGTGTGTCTGTCTGTCTGTCTGTCTGTCTGTCTGTCTGTCTGTCTGTCTGTCTGTCTGTCTGTCTGTCTGTCTGTCTGTCTGTCTCCATCCATACCTAATACCCGATTGGCAGAAAGTGTTTTTTTAAATATTTTTAGAAATTGTTAAAATATTGGTGCCTGTAATGCAGAAGTCCAAAGACTGTTGTGTACTTCATGATTTTATATAAAATTCACTTTAATGTGTGATATGTCTAAAAAGTGGTCATAAACGAATATCAAAATGAGTAGCAGCTTGGAGCCGGAAACAGTATTTCATGTCATGACTTAACAAGCGGATAACCTTGTGCTTCATCCTGCTCCATTTCCAACTAATTAAAATCAATAGTTATTTGTGAGTTTACACAGATATGAAGATGTTTTATTGATTATGATGAAATCCATTTGTGTTTCCAAATGCGTTTGAAAGAGTGGGTTATACTACTTGAAATGAATCAAATCAAAACTGTAAGCTCTTAATGTTTTGGGATTACTTTTCCCCTCACGGTATCAGAGATGGTTAATATTTCTAAAAGGTATCAAGAGTTACAGCAACCCAGCATTTTCTAGAGCGTGTACATATAAACAGCAGAGAGCACCGTCATACACGTCAGACAAAAGACACAGATCGGCAACAACAATAATCAGCTTAAAAACAATTAAAACGGAAATAAAATTAAAAAAATCTCTTACAAAATGACTGAGTCGGGATGTCCTGGAGAGGAACGGGTGAACTTTGGCACACAAAGAGATGTTTTTAGATGGTACGTGAAACTTTTACAGCAGTAAGCAGGTTCACCGGGGTTTGTTTCTACAGTCCTTTGTTGAAATAAACCGTCTCTACTCCAGGATGACTGGCTCGAATCTTCTCTTGCAACTCCGGCTCCAGGCGGCTCACTGCCATAGAGCTGGAGGAATGATGCAAAATAATGAATTAGGATTTATTCAGTTGAATTTTAGTAAATGGGATAGCCGCTTGAGATGATGAACAATCTCATTTTCGATGGGGTCCCTTAGAGCAGTGGTTCTCAAAGTGGGGGTCGCAGGACAATGAACGGGGGTCACCTGGGGCCTCATGTATCAACGCTGCGTATGCACAAAAACTTTGCGTACGCCAGGTTTCACGCTCAGAATCGCTCACGTTTGGATTTACTAACAATGAACTGAACGTGGGAATGTGCGCAGCTTCACGGCAGCTTTCTGGCTGGCGTACGCACATTTTTTGTGCGTGTCTGTTTTATTTCCATTGGCGACTCCTAGAGGCAGTTGTGTTAAATTCCTCTCTACAAAGTGTCTGAGCCTTGCAATGGCAGCTGTATGAGACGGGTTCAGCAGGTATATAAGGTTTCCATACCATACAGTTGACCAGCCAAACATTAAAGCTCAATTTGCAGCAGTCGCCTGTTTTCCCAATGTAATCTGAGCAATCTACTGCACGCACATAGCTATAAAGACACTATCTGAAGATGAATTTGCATGCGTGAATCAGAAACATTTCTATTCAATAAATGTGCAAATAAAATATGATGCTTATTGATATGAACTTATTGATGATTCCTACTTGTCTTTCTCGTGATAAATAGTTGGCAAAATCTGATATGTTGCGGGGGAAAAAACAAGAAAGAAATCATCAGACACTGGATTCGAGCCGAGTTCATGCTCGAATGTATCAATTCATGATCACATGCGTCTTACAAGCTGCGCCACTGAGACTAGTAAGGGTACCGCAACATTTTACAGATATAAACCACACTATTTCTATCTTTGATGCACTCAGTGCGATGTTCAGACCCAACTGTGTTAACCGCATCAGCTAAACTCTCCCACTCTATTTTTTTCTTTTGTTGTTAATTCCGGAGAACAAACTTGCAAATAACACCGCTTTTCTCCGGTCTACCTCTGAAAGCAGCACCTCCAATTCACATTCTGTTCAAAGTTTCTCTTTTTGCTTGCTTTTTCCATTGCTTTTTCGTTGGGTTTTTCCATTAGCATAGTCATTAGCATATTCATAAAGGGGAGGAGGCAGGGAGGGGTTTTGTGCTCGTGCATGTTGCGCTCAGTTTCACGTTCATTCAGATGTACAAAAGAATATGCATGAGATTCGGCGTACGCAGTGTTTCATACATCTGAATTTTTTTCTGCGTACGCACATTTACAGCTTTGTGCGTACAAAATGTTTTAGTAAGATTTCCACGCAAGTCTTCGTACATGAGGCCCCTAGTGATTTCCAACAATCTATTTATTTTTACTAAACCATAAGAATTACCATATTTTATCCATAACCTACTAAAAAAAAATTTTTTATAGTTTATAGTTACTATGTACAACTGTATATATTTACTATTGTAGCTTATAGTTGCTAGTTGTATTGGATTGCCACCCCTGGGGTCATTACATTACATTAAAGACACAGCAATAACGTCAGATGCAGCAGATTGATTTTATAACACCAGGTTAAACTTTCTGGCCTATTTACAGCACTGACATACATTACAAAAAATTCAACGCAGGGTTCAACGCTAAGGATTTTTTATACGGGTCCGATCGGGCCATTGCTTAAGATTTTTACTTGCCCTGTCAAAATTTTCACTAGCCCCACCAAAAAAACAAAAAAGTTAATAGCTATTTCTTAGCCACATATTTTAAATAGTGGCAAAATTATGCCTGTGAATCTAGAATTTAAACATTTTAAATATGTTAATAAATGTATAATGAGCAAAATTCAAGATTTTATGCAAATGAAAGAGCAGTATGAAAAATGTGCTGGTGTTTTAATGCAATTCTAAATAACTTTTTATAAAAATGGCTTGCCAAACTGACAACTGTTTTTTTTTGTTCTTTTTTTCAGTTTCTTAATTTTGTACCCATGTAATGGTCTGCTTCTAAGCCTTTAGAAACGTTTTCTTTTAGCCTCATTGTTTAAATTTGCCACCATGTTGCCATCTTTTCACTGTACTGGTTGTTACCAGGTTACAAAAAAAACATTCTCATCGTTACTGGCCGATAGGGGCCAGTAACAATCCTGTCTACTGTCCCGAGTGTCTTTCACGCTGGCCCCGGGCCACCGGGGAGTCCTTATTGTTGAGCCCTGCAACGAAGAATAGACTTGGGTCTATTGGTGTGTGTGTGTGTGCCATTGCATGCAACGTTTCTGTATTTATAACCACCTTAGAGGATATTGGGGGTTGCGAATCACTGGCATTGTTATTTTAGGGGTTGCGGGCTGAAAAGTTTAGGAACCCCTGCCTTAGAGTACAACATAAAAACAGACAACTAGGTCTGTCATGATATCTATTGTTTTTTTGTATGATGTATTACACCAAAATATATTGTGATAAACTATATTATTGTTATTTTAAGACTATTTTATGCCACTCATAAAGCCAGAATGACAATATAATATCATCACAATGCAAGTGCACTCCTCCAAAGAACACGTCAGATTTTATTCTTAAGAATATTTAATTTAATTATAGTCGTTTTAACAATTTAATAAAGAGGCATTGAAATCAGAATGTGAAAAAGCATATCCTAAATAAATAATAATAAATGTTAACATAAAATGCAAGGGAAAGAGTAACAGAGGCTGCGATATCTGCTACCAGATCTATTGTCAGCTGTCAGACACCCACATGAGATTATACTATAGTAATTCATAGTAAAATACTATACTGTTTCTTTAACTGACACTGACACCTCCAGTAGAGCAGGAGTTTCCAAACTTTTCAGCCTGCGACCCCAAAATAACAATGCCAGTGACTCGCGACCCCCAATATCTTCTGAGGTGGTTATAAATACAATAAGCTGGCATGCAATGGCGCACACGCATCAATAGACCCAAGTCTATTCTTCGTTGATTTTTTTGTAATGTATGTCAGTGCTGTAAATAAGCCAGAAAGTTTAACCTGGTGTTATAAAATCAATCTGCTGCATCTGACGCTATTGCTGTGTGTCTAATATAAATGTAATGACCACAGGGGTCGCAATCCAATAGAACTATAAGCTACTATAGTAACTATATACAGCAATATATAGTAACTATAAATGACAATTTTTTTTTCTTTTCAGTAGGTTATGGATAAAATATGGTAATTTTTGGTTTAATAAAAATAGATTTTTGGAAATCGCCAAGCGAAACCCCCCCCCCACCCTCCACCACTTCATTGTCCCGCGACCCCTCTGTGGGTCCCGACCCCTTCTTTGAGAGCCACTGCAATAGAGATAGAGAGGTTGCACAATCAGCTGAAATGTTGCTGAAGTTGTTGTTTTTTTGTATGGGTGATATATATTGCATCACCAAAAGTGATTGAGGTCATGTTCATGTGCTGTGCGATAAGTCGGATATGCTGATTATTGATTATTCCTACAGACAACTAAACCAACCAAACAAAGTACAAACAATTTGATATGAGTAATTAATGATCATTTAAATTGGAGCCAAAATTGGTTACACTTTACAATAAGGTTTCATTAGTTAGTGTATTTACTAACATGAAATAATTATGAGCAATACTTGTACTTATAGGTCAGCATTTAATAATGCATTATTAACATCCAAATGCATGCTTGTTAACATTAGCTAATGCACCGTGAGTTAACATGAACTAACAATGAATGACTGTAACAAATACTGTAATAGATGTATCGTTCGTTGTTTGTTCATGTTAGTAAATGCATTATTAACCAATGCAACCCTGTTGTAAAGGATTACCCCAAAATTAATACAATTTTACAAGTTGTTTTCAAAAAAAGAAAATAAATTATGATGAATTATCAATCAATCAATGATGAATCCTTTACAAAGCAAAATTAATCATTTCAAATTATTAAAAAAACAAAAAGATTTCAAGGCCACACATAGACGGTAAGGCTTCGAAAGTGTGCTCAGTGTTTCCACCACTGCAGAAATAGTATAATTAGGAAATTGTGACTTTTTATATTCAATTCATCTTTATTTCTATGGCACTTTTGCAATGTAGATTGTGTCAAAACAGCTTAACATAGATGAAGTTCTAGCAAACTGAATCTGCCTCAGTCCAGTTTTCACAGATGAAGTTCAATTCTGATTTTAGCATGAATTGAGAGCTATTCTATTATCTACACTGTAAAAAGCAATTAGTTGAACAAGTGAGTAAACTCATTGCCTTCAAATTATTAAGTAAATGAACTACATGTATAATTATAAACATTAAATTAGCTGAACTTAACAGCTCTAAGTTAAATACTTACATTTTTAAGTAAAATCAACTTGTAATTTTTAGAGCTGTTTTTAGTAATCGCTTTTTACAAAAAAAATTATTGGTAAGGCTTTATTTTGATGGACCCTTTTTACAAGCCTGTTTTGACTTGCTTAACGGTCATCATAATGTTAAATCCTTGAAAGCTTTTAATGTTTTTTATTTATTTATTTATTTATTTTTTCATCACATTCGCTTCAAATTACAAAAAAATGAATTGCCACTTATGCAAGGTGTTTCTAATGCAGGGGGTGAGTAAATTTGAGGTTATTCTGTCTTCTGGCTGCCGTTAGATTGTAAAAATATTGTAAAAAAATATTTGTTGTATTCTCCTATTCACTGCACTCTAATTTTACCCATCTATGAAAACTTCCACTACTAAGAAACTTGGAAATGTGAAAATGGCCTATTGCACATTTTGTTGACTAAAAGTTGCATTGCATCTACTGTGCATGCCAATTACTTGTCATTTGAGTATTAGTAGACTGTCTGCCTAATATCTGCTGATGCTGCTCCTTCAACAGACATTTAACTGATTATAAGAAACTTTGCAAGTACATGCCAACTTACACTAACCCCAACCCAACAGTCTACTTTATAATCTAATCACAATTACTGTAACTTAAATTCAACAAAATGTGATAAAGTTGGCATCAAAATAAAGTGATGCCAAAATATTTCTTGCTCCCTTCATTTTTTTGTTTTTTAAATGTACTTTCTAGTCATCTCAACTTCATTCATTCATTTTCCTACAGCTTGGTTCCTTATTTATCAGGGGTCGCCACCGTGGAATGAACCACCAACTCATCCAGCATATGTTTTACACAGCAAATGTTCTTCCAGCTGAAACCCGTTATTGGGAAACACCCATACACACTCATTCACACACATACAGCGCATGTGTTTGGACTGAGGGGAAACTGGAGCACCTGGAGGAAACCCACACCAACACGGGGAGAACATGCAAACTCTAAAGAGAAATGCCAACTGGTGCAGCCGGGACCCGAACCAGCGATCTTCTTGCTGTGGGGTGACAGTGCTAACCACTGAGCCACCGTGCCACCCTCTAGTCATCTCAACTCCATTAATCAAACGGACTAAAAATATTAAGTTAAACTTTGTATAACTTAAAATTCAGTTGAAACCTGATTAACTTAATATAAGTTAAAGCAATATAAACATATTTGTTGTCTTGCCCTTCCTCCACACATTTCTGTGTGGAGTTTGCAAGTTCTCCCCGTGTTGGTTTCCTCCGAGTGCTCCAGTTCCCTCCCTCAGTAAAAACACATGCGGCACTGGAGAATTGAATAAACTAAATTGGCTGTATTGTATGAGTGTGAATGAAGATGTATGGGTGTTTCCTAGTACTGGGTTGCAGCTGGAAGGGCATCCTCTGCGTAAAACATATGCTGAGTAAGTTGGCGGTTAATTCCACTGTGGCAGCCCCTGATGAATAAAAAGACTAAGCCGAGGGAAAATGAATAAATAAATCCATTATTATTACCGTTTTTCATAAACTGTAGTATGATCTATGACGGGTGTCAAACTCAATTCCTGGAGGGCTGAAGCCCTGCACAGTTTAGTTCCAACCCTGCTCCAACACACTTACCTGTAGGTTTCAAACAAGCCTGAAGGACTCAATTAGTTTGATCAGGTGTGTTTAATTAGGGTTGGAACTAAACTGTGCAGAGCTGCGGCCCTTTTGAAACTAGGTTTGACACCTGTGATCTGACAAAACTATAATTGTCAGTAAACTGAATCCATTATTATTGTAAATAATCCAAAATGCTTAATATATTTGCATTATTTTGCATGTTTGTGGTAATAATTGTTGTTTTTTTAACCTATCATAAACAATCAGGCGTATGATTTATGAAATTAAATAGAAACCTTCCTAAAAGTGAACCTACACCAGTATTAATTGTAATATATTTATAACTGATTATGGCTCATATGAGAAATTAAAACGGTTAAATTAAGTCAGTATTAATAAGTTAAATATGTTTACTTGCAGCTGTGCACGTTCCCTCTTCAAGTTTGTTTTTTATAGATCACAATTATTGCATAGGAAGTGGCGTGCACACTTATCTGCCCTTGTTTAGTGCATACGGCACGTTTATAAAATGAGACGCCTGTTAATTTTTGTACATGCAGTCCTCATTATTTGCATTACTTGAGTTAATTTGGTTGTAAAATTCAGCTAGATATGCACCACAAAAGCCACGAGTTCAGCCGCAGTGTGTACATGGCCTATGCACTAATTTTCAGGCTATTTGGAGAAAGATCTCACCTCTTTTGTGGGAATAACGCACAGCACAGCGGGGTTGCGAACACCAGGCTAAAAAGAAAAAAGGCATGGGTCATAAGTTCTTGAATGCCTGTCTGAAAATAAGCATTTATTAAATGTTAAGTCTATTTTTGGCAACTCACCAAAACCCAACCAAGCCAACTTGAATGGGTGCACTCATCCATGGAAACCTCTGAAAAAAAAATAAGAGGGGGGAAAAAAATCAACCTGGCAACAAAGCCCATGATTCTATGGGGCCATTGTAAGAGCTGATGCACTCAAGCAGACACTGTAGTCGTGTATGTGTGAGAGGGAGTGTGTGAATGTGTATATGTGTGAGTGAGTGTGTGTGTGTGTGTGTGTGTGTGAGTGTTTGTGCATTCTGCTAAGGCTGCAGTGTTCGCTAAAGAGGCCATATGATGCTTTGAGTTTAAGCTGTACATGCTTGAGATTTACAAATGTTCAACTCAAAGTCTCCCAAAAAGGAATTTATTTCTTTATTTTATCCGATCCAGAACTGCTTTAAACACATTCATTTAATCCATATATTAATTCTGCATACCCCCATCTCACAACTGGAAATCATCATAATGCTACTCAGATGCTGAAGTAAAGCCAGGAAAGTTGGTTTTGATCTGCTTGATGATCCAAATTTTCAGAATTTGGCTCAAGCAGATACAGTGAAACGCACACAACATTATTAAATTTGCATTTACGTTTCTGGCACACACTTAGGATGTTCGGCCAATCACAATTAGAGCCACAACCGTTTCACCCTGCAGCCCAAGACTAGTTATTCACTTAGGCTAAGCAGGGCTGAGCCTGGTCAGTACCTGGATGGGAGACCACATGGGAAAACTAGGTTGCTGTTGGAAGTGGTGTTAGTGATTGCAGCAGGGGGCGCTCAACCTGTGATCTGTGTGAGTCCTAATGCCCCAATATAGTGAAGGGGACACTATACTGTCAGCGAGCGCCGTCTTTCAGATGAGACGTTAAACCGAGCTCCTGTGGTCATTAAAAATCCTATGGCACTTCTGGTAAATTCAATTCAATTCAGCTTTATTTCTATAGCGCTTTTACAATGTAGATTTTGTCAAAGCAGATTCACATAGAAGATCATAGTAAATTGAAACAAAGTAGAGGTGTAACCCTGGTGTCCTGGCCAAATTCTCTCTATAAGCCCTTAACCATCATGGCCTCATCTCCATCCACTGAATTGGCTCTATCACTGTCTCTACACTCCACCTGTAGCTGGTGTGTGGTGAGCGCACTGGCACCGTTGTCCTGTGGCAGTCGTCACATCATCCAAGTGGATGCTGCACACTGGTGGTATCAGCATTTTAAAATAGCACCATACGGCCTCTTTAATACTTTCAGTCATGTAAACAAATCATGTTTAAAATGTACCTTCAGGAAAGCTTTCTTTTCCAAAGAGTTCATTAAAAATGGAGGAATGGCTAAAGGATGAAGAAAGATGAACAAAACATTAATTAAAAGAATTTTTGCATTACCAGACATGCACTTCAATAACATCAACATATCATGTGCAAAAGACCCTAGGTACAGTAAAGGCTGAATATATATATATATATATATTTTTTTTTTTTTTATTTGATTTACTAACAGATGGCTTTAGTTGACTGAAGTAGCCCCATTTTAAATTGGATTTTGTATCATAGATATTATATATGATCTCAGATTTCATAAGCATTACTGCAAAATATATTTGACTATCATCAGCTTAGCTCACCCAAAAAGGGTAAAATTGGGATGGTTCACCCAAAAAAGGAAAATTCTTATTTTATCACCCCTGACTTGTGCCAAACTGGTTTGAGTTTCTGCTTTTGAACACAAAAGGAGATATTTTAAACAATGTTGGAAAATCGGTAGACTTCCATGGAATTTTTATTCTCCTACTATTGATATGAATGGCTACAGGTTTCCGACATTCTTCAAAATATCTTCTTTTGTGTAAAACATAAACAGAAATTAAACCATGTAAGATTTGGTAAATATTATGAATAAACTGAGCTGAATTTTATTTAACATGATTTAAAAAACTGTACAATAATACAAAGTATCCCATACATCTTGATGTAAAACTATGGAGTTCATTCATTCATTTTCTTTTCAGCTTAGTCCCTTTATTAATTAGAGGTCGCCAATGGAATGAACCACCAACTCATCCATGCGTTTTACGCAGCGGATGCCCTTCCAGCTGCAACCCATAACTGGGAAACACCCATACGCTCTCATTCACACACATGCACTACAGACAATTTAGCATATCCAATTCACCTATAGTGCATGTCTTTGGACTTCTGGGGGAAACCGGAGCACCCGGAGGAAACCAACATGGGGAGAACATGCAAACTCTACACAGAAATGGCAACTGAGACCGCTAAGGCTCGAACCAGCGACCTTCTTGCTACGAGGCGATAGAGCTACCCACTGCGCCACGGGGCTGCCCCAAAACTATAGAGTATAAAAACATAATACATTCCTCGGCTTATTTCCACTGTGATCCTCACTGTTAATACAAAGGATGGCTTCAAAATACAGAAGAGCTGATGTATAAAACTAAAAACTTACAATACAAACGTATACAAGCCATAAACAAACACAGTACAAACTAATTAGCATTATAAAACTACAATATTTTTACCATTTTTCATTTTTGGGTGAACTATCCCTCAACTGAGAGTGAGTTTTAGACAAAACGAACCCATTCCCGGAGAAGCCATGAGGATTCGGGACACCACCACTTGTGTGATGGCCTGTTGAGCTGCCTTTGAAGATTCTCCTAATCGATTGTCATTCTCATCCGTTACTGGAATACCATGTTTGAGTTCCCTGATTAAAACACACACACACACACACACACACACACACACACACACACACACACACACACACACAAAGAGCATAACCATGTCATGTCTATTACATAAACAGTGATGCACAACATAGTCATGCGTTAAATGTTAGACCCATGCTATAAAAGTCAAGTCACGTTTAGCTTTGTTGTCATTCCGCTACATGTGCGGAGATAATATCGTAACGTCGAAATATCATGACTCTCAGGATCACAGTGCTACATATCATTCACTCATTCATTTTCTTTCAGCTTGGTCCCTTTATCCATCAAAGGTTAGCCTGGTGGAATGAACCACCAACTTTTCCAACATATGTTTTACACAGCGGATGCCCTTCCAGCTGCAGCCTAGTACTGGGAAACACTCATACACACTCATACACTACAGTCGATTCAGTTTATTCAATTCACCTATAGCGCACGTGTTTGGACTGTGGGGGAAATTGAAGCACCTAGAGGAAACCTACACAGTTGCCTAACAGCAGCAAGATGGTCCCTGTTTTGAGTCCCAGCTGGACCAGTTGCCGTTTCTGTGTGGAGTTTGCATGTTCACCCAGTGTTGTTTTCTCTGCGTGCTCCGGTTTCCCCCACAGTCCAAACACATGAGGTACAGGTGAATTGGGTAAGCTAAAATTGTCCGTAGTGTATGAGTGGGCTCTGGGGGGTGTCATGGCCCTGTAAGACCCTGCAGACACCCTGGTTAATAATTTTGACTTCACCCTGCATGCATGCTTTGATAAAATAATTTTGTGATCACAACACCAAACAACCACATCTGGACAACCAAAGTAAGATCAGGTCAGAGCTCTCCCCGTGTTTGTTGTAGAGAATTATTTACCGTTGTCTCATGAGTGGAATATTAATACAGTTAGCAGCAGCGACAGCAGCGAACGGGACGAAGCGTCCTATGAGTGGAGACACATGCTGAAAGACAAAACACTCAGTCATTTTCATGATGATTATTACAGTCAGAATGAACACGGAGCAATGAACACTGTGTTTATATATTTATAAAGGTATTCGTAAGTTATAACAAACCTTTGCTAGTGCATTCAGTCCTAAAGCGGTAGCCACTGCGCCAGTGGTGGCTGATACATACGCTGTCCCAAGCTGGCTGCAAAGACATTTATTAGGACGTTATAGAGATATAGCATGTTGAACACAAGCCATGTTTCCATCCTAGTCATTTTAAGAGCATTTTGGGATATTACATTTTAAAAAACTGCAGTTAAATTGATGCAACATGATATATTAGACAACACTTTATTCTAAGGAGTTCTGTGCAGTTACGATAGTAACTACATTTAACTGTGCACTATTATTTTTCTTATTAATAGGCTTTACTGATTACCACAGGGGCATAGTGACTCAAACAACAATACCAAAAAACTAATACAGATGTCGCCTTCAGAATACAGCTCTATTTCTGTCAACGCTGAAAGCTCAATGGGAAAATCTGAATAAATTTACTAGTCATTTCCAATTACATGATGTAAAACATTGTGTTAAAATTGTATAATTACAAAAATAATAATTTATTAATATTTAATTTATTTAGTTAAAGCATCTTTTTATATATAAACAGCAAGTAAAATCCTGTATTTAATATGTTATGCATTCATATATTTTTAAAACATCGATATAAATATTGCATAATTTAAATATTTAAGTTAACGTGACAATATATAATATAATAATAATATAAAACTTAATATGTTCATTTAAGTGGCGACACGGTGGCTCAGTGGTAAGCACTGTCGCCTCACAGCAAGAAGGTCGGTGGTTCGAGTCCTGACTGGGTCAGTTGGCATTTCTGTATAGAGTTTGAATGTTCTCCCTGTGTTGTCATGGGTTTTCTCCGGGTGCTCTGGTTTCCCTCAGTCCAAACCCATGCGCTATAGGGGAATTGAATAAACTAAATTGAATATTATACATAAATATAACAACAAAAAAATGAAATAAAATAAATATAGGGCTGTACAATATATTTAAAATGTATAATCATTGCGATGTAATAATATATGCAATATCCATATCGCAGAGAAATGCAATAAACAAAATTAATTTTATGGGCCAATTTTGTATTGTATTGTGTGCTGCATGCATAGGTTGTTTATCCAAATTTGAATAATCCGATATGGCCTTTACAATCTTCATCCCCACCTCTCCAGTACATGCTGTTAGCTGAAAATAAACACTAATGCTGAGAGACAAGAGGAAGATAACAACAGCCAATAACAATCAGACTTTTTGTAATTTGTGGTGTTTTAAAGTCTAATTGTTTTCTTTACATATATTTAATTAGCTCAAAAAGAATCTATTGGCTGTTTATTTTAGTATATTGTTAATTTTAGTACATTTATTTAGTTATAATGTATGAAATATCGAAATGCTCAACACTCACAGTATCGTGCAGCCTTATTTAAAATCATTGTTTAATTTTCTTCATGTCTTCGGATGGAAACACAGCTACAGATAAATGCAGAAATGGAAGTGTTGTTTGTGCATTGCAGTGCCTCACTTGACTGTGATTGGTGCGTCTCCGCTCCTGTTGGTGTAGTTGACTATTGCATTGAAGGACTGATTGATCCACTGCCAAAACAGAACCGCTGGAGTCGTTCTGAAAGTACAGAAAAAAACAAATATTCATTAATCGCAGGAGTTTGGTTTTTATTATCAAGAAAACATTCACAGAATCCTACAGCTACACAATCGGTGAGATTTATTTTATTATAACATGTTTAAATGAAGACTATTCGCCTCGCAAAGCCTGCAGTTGTTTGGTGCAGTGAAATAATTCAATAATATAATTAAATGCAAAAATGCTTCTCTTTATAAATTTTGTTACAAAATGCAAATCCATCACAAATCAACTTATCTATATATATTATTTTATATATTTATTCAATATCAAAAATTCTGTCTTTTTGTCCATCTATTTAATATTCATTAATTTAAATTTTTTTCCCCCTTCGGCTTGGTCTCTTATTTATCAGGGGTCGCCACAGCAGAATGAACTGCCAACTATTCTGGCATATACGCTTTACACAGCGGATGCCCTTCCAGCTGCAACCCAGTACTGGGAAACACACATACACTCTCACACTCATACAGCCAATTTTGTTTGCCCAATTCACCTATAGCACATGTGTTTGGACTGTGGAGGAAACCGGAGCACCCGGAGGAAACTCACGCCAACACGGGGAGAACATGCAAACTCCACACAGAAATGCCAACTGACCCAGCCAGGACTCGAACTAGCGACCTTCCTGCAGTGAGGTCACCACAGTGCTAACCATTAAGCCACCTTGTTATATATATATATATATATATATATATATATATATATATATATATATATATATATATATATATGTATATATATATATATGTAACCATATTGTTTTGCTTCTATCACATATAAATTGTAAATATAAATAATACACACACATATATCATGTCAACACAAACTCTTTTATTTTAGATGCAATTTAATCACAATCTTTGCTCCGCACTAAAATAATAACATGGTCAGAATCTTATTGAGCCTAAACTTTTGACTGCATTACATCAATAATAAATCACGCAAGCATTTACCTGTAGAAGGTCATCATGCATCCAGTGATGGTCATGTTCATGGGCACCTGAGCTGACATGCGACCAATCAGCAGCATTTTCTCTCCTGTGTCTGGATGGAAGGCGGAGTCAAAAACATATTTCGCCCTCCATAATTCATCCTCTGTGAGATCTGCTGCTACCACGCCTTTCCTTTGAGCATTGAAAAAAGATCAAATATGACAATTGTGCATTTGTTATATAACAATATACAGTTGAAGTTATTAGCCGCCCTGTATATTTATTCCCAAATTTCAGTATAACGGAAAGAAGATTAACACATTTCTAATTATAATAGTTTTAATAACTCATTTCTAATCACTGATTTCTTTTATCTGTGGCATGATGACAGTTAGGGATGCACGATATATCATCGGCTGATAAATGTTATTTGTAATGTTATCGTTATCTGTCCGATATCAAAATGAGGCTGATATCTTTAAGCCGATAGGTTACGTAGTTGTACAGAACTGCATGCCTCATGCATGCATTGTTCAAACTTGTTCAGACTTGTCAGTGCACTATGATGGAGCTCTTCATGTGGTATTGCTGTGTGTTAATAACTCAGTAAGTAACCACTTTCTTTATCATAGTAGATATGTTTTAATAAGTGCAATTGTGTATTTTGGTTTAAATCGCCTCTGGAAAAATATTATATGTGTAAATAAAATAGCAGCGATGCGAAAACACTCGTGCGAAACAACTCGTTGGGTTTTTTGTAATCTAACATGATTATTTGTTATCAACGCTTGTGTAGTTGACGCAAGATAGTATTCAGTTTGATCAGCAGATTTATAATGTTTATAACGAGCGCACGTGATGGCTATTAGGTCAGGTCAGTGTATCTTTTGGTCATTGGATTTTCGTTTTAGATGCAGATATTGAAAATTGAGCCGTTTTTTAAATTTTTGTTTTAAATTTATGAACCGAAAATTGAAATTCAATGCGTTTTTTGATTTTTGTTTTTGAACAAAACGAAACGAAAATCAAAAACAGTGAAAAACGGAAAAGCAAAATTCCAAAAATTATTTGATTTTCATCTTTTAGTTCGAATAACAAAAAACAAAATCACCAGAACACAAACACAATAAAGACTTGTTTTTTAATATTCTGAAACCAGATAGGTCAACTCATTTATGGTGACGCAATGCTGACCTGCTAGCCTACTATAGGCTATTATTTTTTTTCCACTTAATAATGTTATTAAAGGTATTTTCTGTTGATAAAAGGATTTTGTTAAGACATATTTTTCTCATTGAAGCCGTTAATATAAAAACAACATAATTGAACAATTTTCTGAAAATAAACTTTATTGTTAAAATCACTTCCACTTCAGGAGTGACAGACAGTATAAATAAATATATATATATATATATATATATATATATATATATATATATATATATATATATATATATATATATATATATACACAGTTGAAGTCAGAATTATTCGCCCCCGTTTATTTTTTCCCCCAATTTCTGTTTAACGGAGAGCAGATTTTTTTCTTCACATTTCTAATCATAATAGTATTAGTAACTCATTTCTAATAACTGATTTATTTTATCTTTGCCTTGATGACAGTAAATAATATTTGACTAGATATTTTTCAAGACACTTCTATAGTGTCATTTAAAGGCTTAACTAGGTTAATTAGGTTAACTAGGCAGGTTAGAGTAATTAGGCAAGTTATTGTATAACATTGGTTTGTTTTGAAGACTATCGAAAATTATTAGCCCGTAAGTAAAGCTAATATTTCCTATATATATATCCTTAAAATGGTTTTTAAAAAATGAAAAACTGCTTTTATTCTAACCAAAATAAAACAAATAAGACTTTCTCCAGAAGAAAAAAATATCAGACGTACTGTGATTTTCTTTTTTTATAATTTCAATTTCTGTATTAAAAATCTGCTGCTATATTTGCACATGGCTTTATGAAATTATGGATAGACCCACAGTAGCAGGATGACGCGTGCAACTCGTATGCAAGCTTAGTGATAGTTTTTAAAAGACTATCAGATAAAATTAATTGTTAACCTTTATTTTAAAATACTATGAGTTATTTAAATGTGCGTAGCAAACAACTGTATTAATGCCCCACTCACTTAAAATGATTCATTCGTGGTCAAACTTTGGGAAGCATTATGGTTTTAACAATATTAAAACTTTCTTTTCAGAAAAGTGTTCAGTAAAGCAACCTAAAGCTTGCATGTAATGTCAAAATAAAGGTTGTTTCGTTTAAAAACACGCTAACAAAAAATAAATCTATAGCCTATAACCGGCCCTTATATGAGAAATATGTTGTCTTAATGAGAAAAATACCTGTATGTATTAACAAAATCCTGTTATCACAAGAAAATACCTTTTATTACATTATTAAGTGAGGAAAAAAACAATAGCCTACAGAAGGCTAGCAGGTCAGCATTGCGTCATCATAAATAAGTTGACCTATCTGGTTTCAGAATATTAAACAACAAGCCTTTATTTGCTTTTGTTTTCTGGTGATTTAATTTTTTTGTTATTCGAAATAAGAAATAAAAATTAAATCATTTTTGAATTTTGCTTTTCCGTTTTTCACAATGAGAAAAAAAACGAGCAATTTTTTGCCTTTCGTTTTAAAATTTAAAAACGGAAATAAAAAAAAACGCATTGAATTTCAATTTTTGTTTTTTAATTTTAAAATAAAAATATAAAAAAAACAGCTCATTTTTCATTTTTCAATATCTGTTTTTTAAAATGAAAATCCAATGACCAAAAGATACACTGACGCTATTATCACGCACACACATAGTGACTAGTGAGCCGTCAAAGCCTTCAACGTAGCAGGGGAGACGAGCTCCAGTCACTGAATCCAGCATAGGGGTTCTCAACCCTCCACCACATTCTGTCCACATGCACTGTGTTTATCATAAAGTCATCTGTGCTCGATGCTCAGGTGTATCAAAATCTGACTTTCGAGGACAAATCTGACTCTTTTATGCAGTTAAGAAGTTGTTCACTGTATTAAAATTGTATAATTTTAACATATTTTTATTTATCAGCATAAATATATCGATTATCAGCCTCCAAATCTTAAGAGTTATCGGTTAACGATATCGCCCAAAAAATACTCCTCTGTGCATCCCTAATGTCAGTGCATAATATTTGACTAGATATTTTTCAAGATGCTAGTATTCAGCTTAAAGTGACAAAGGAATAAGGTTAAGTTCGGGTAATTAGGCAGGTCATTGTATAACAGTGGTTTGTTCTGTAGACAATCCAAAACAAATATTGCTAATAATATTGACCTTAAATATTTTTTAAATAATTAAATACTGGTTTTATTCTAGCTGAAATAAAACAAATAAGACTTTCTCCAGAAGAAAAAAATATTATAGGAAATACTGTGAAAAATCACTGAATCTGTTAAACATCCTTTGGGAAATATCTGAAATCATTCACAGAAGCGTGAATAATTCTGTCTTTCAGCTGTAGCTGGCATTGCAGACAAATGAATGAGAATTACTTGTAATCCTGAATAATCTGATGTGCTTTTTCTAGTTGTTTGTTGGACAGCAGGATGTTTCTGGGGTCTGTGACGGTGAAGAAATGCTTGGCTCGACCCACGAATGTTCCCTGATCCCAGCGCGGCTCTTTAATGTTTATGGAGGTGGAGATCGTCGCTGCCATGGCACACTGTGGAGAGATTACACTGGTAAAACTGACCTATGAAAGGGGAGCTATTATGCAAAAATCACTTTTATAAGGGGGTTTAAACACAGTTGTGTGGCAACAGCGTGTGAATAGAGCCAGCTTCTAGTGGTAAAAATGTATTCATTCAATTTCTATAATCACACTAGATAAAAACAGTGTGCAGAAACGCTTTGTTACGGCCCAGACTCAAAACTGGCTCGAATAACAACAACATTCAAGGTTTGAGCCGAACATATGGAAGACACAGACGTTTGAATGGGTAAATTGACGTCAATACGTTTAATATTCCATAAATCATAAGTTTTCAAAAGACAGAACATTAACAAAAATCAAGCAGACAGGTAGGGCAGCTCAGGTAAACAGGGGCCTCATGTATCAACGCTGCGTACGCACAAAAACTTTGCGTACGCCAGGTTTCACGCTCAGAATCGCTCACGTTTGGATTTACTAACAATGAACTGAACGTGGGAATGTGCGCAGCTCCACGGCAGCTTTCTGGCTGGCGTACGCACATTTTTTGTGCGTGTCTGTTTTATTTCCATTGGCGACTCCTAGAGGCAGTTGTGTTAAATTCCTCTCTACAAAGTGTCTGAGCCTTGCAATGGCAGCTGTATGAGACGGGTTCAGCAGGTATATAAGGTTTCCATACCATACAGTTGACCAGCTAAACATTAAAGCACAGTTTGCAGCAGTCGCCTGTTTTCCCAATGTAATCTGAGCAATCTACTGCACACACATTGCTATAAACACACTATCTGAAGATGAATTTACATGCGTGAATCAGAAACATTTCCATTCAATAAATGTGCAAATAAAATATGATGCTTATTGATATGAACTTATTGATGATTCCTACTTGTCTTTCTCGTGATAAATAGTTGGCAAAATCTGATATGTAGCGGGGCAAAAAACAAGAAAGAGTTCATCAGACGCTGGATTCGAGCCGAGATCATGCTCGAACGTATCAATTCATGATCACAAGCGTCTAACGAGTAGCGCCACTGAGACTGTTAAGGGTCCTGCAACATTTTACAGATATAAACCACACTATTTCTATTTTTTAATGCACTCAGTGCGATGTTCAGACCCAACTGTGTTAACCGCATCAGCTAAACTCTCCCACTCTATTTTTTTTTTTTGCTGTTAATTCCGGAGAACAAACTTGCAAATAACACCGCTTTTCTCCGGTCTGCCTCTGAAAGCAGCACCTCCAATTCACATTCTGTTCAAAGTTTCTCTTTTTGCTTGCTTTTGCCATTGCTTTTTCGTTGGGTTTTGCCATAAGCATAGTCATTAGCATATTCATACGGGGGAGGAGGCAGGGAGGGGTTTTGTGCTCGTGCATGTTGCGCTCAGTTTCACGTTCATTCAGATGTACAAAAGAATATGCATGAGATTCAGCGTACGCAGTGTTTCATACATCTGAATTTTTTTCTGCGTACGCACATTTACAGCTTTGTGCGTGCGCAATGTTTTAGTAAGATTTCCACGCAAGTCTTCGTACATGAGGCCCCAGGTCTCTGACTAAACTGTTTTAAATGGACAGATCTTACCTAAACTCTCGTGAACAGGAATAAAAAAATAGGTGAGTCTTCCGGGCCACTGCTTACCTTCGCTAAACTAAATAAATAACAAAACGTGACTATGAAAAAATAAACCCCTACCTGCTACAAAACAAAGTATCAAAATAAACAAACAAGTTAACACATTACGAACTAAGAATCAAAAGATTAACATGAACAAAACACTAAATGGAGCGGCATCTGGATGATGATCGCCTGGCTTGCGGAGCACCGCCAGCCAGACCGCCTAAGCCAGGGGTCAGCAACCTGCGGCTCTTTAGCGCTGCCCTTGTGGCTCACTGGAGCTTTTTCAAAAATGTTTGAAAATGCAAAAAGATGGGGGAGGTTAATATATTTTTTTGTTTTAATATGATTTCTATAGGAGGACAAACATTTTTAACGTTTTCAAATGCTGTCAAAGTGTGTAGAATTAATATTTAATTTCAACATTTCTGTCAACGAAGATTTGCGTCATAGCCTGCGACACACGTTTCTATCAGCAGGGTGGGATGCCAGGCAAGTGGCTGTTGTAAACAAACCAGGAGATTATAAAGCACGGAAAACCGTTCAAAGATGGTATGACATGTTAGAACACCTATTTGCAAACTTTAAAAACAAAACCAAGATAATACAAAAAAATAAAGATATACCTTTCTCCACTAAGACAGTGAAGGAAAGGGCTATTAAAAGGGTAGGTAACATCACCGATCAGCAAACCAAGGACTTTAATTCAGTGCCAGCATACTCAATTGCCTGTGATGTGACCGATATTCAACGCGCTTTTATGCAGGTATGTGAACTCTGAAGGGCCGCAAGAAGAAATGATCAAATTAATAACACTAAAAGACAAGAGGCTGTGCTGAAGTGTTTTAATGACAACAAAATAAACACCAACCACCTGATTTCAGTGGCTATTAATCATGAAGGCTCATTATGTATTTGTAGCCAATTTAGTCATTTTGTAAGTAGGCTAATATAGCTAATATAGATACATACAGCATGTGTTTCCTTCATTATAAGGCTTATATAAGGCTTTATATTTTTTGTGGCTCCAGACATATTTGTTTTTTGTTATTTTTGGTCCATTATGGCTCTTTCAACATTTTGGGTTGCCGACCCCTGGCCTAAGCGCAAGCCACCACCGAGCTGAGGGAGGGCGAGAGACTGCAAGATAGAGAGAGAGAGAGAGAGAGAGACGCCATTGCTGTCAGCCTTATATAGTGGGAATCCCCAATGACGTCACAGGCATCATCCAATCCTGGATAAGCCGGGTGAAACACTCCTCCTAGAACTCGATCGCAAGCACAAAGCGGCAATAAATAAATAGATTAAATAACACAGACCCACGTAGCACGCTTTGATGGACATTCTCCCTTTGTACGTGTCATCAGCAGTGGAAAGCCATTAATGACCATCTCCCGCTTATTAGCATGAACAGCCCTGAGTGAGAAACAGCCGTCCTGCTGAAGATAATGTCCGCGACTAAGAGGATTATAAATGTGGAGTTTTAGATGAAGCACTAATGAACACTGGACTGATGTATTCGGACACACTTCTGCACACATTTTCAGTTTTTCACACAGATTTTGAATCTGCCACTATGCTGACACGCAGGCATTTGTAGCTCCGCCCTCTAAAGAGAACATAACAATCTCATTTGAATTTAAAGCGACAGTCACCAAAACGCCACAATTAGGATCAAAGCCTAAAAGGGTCAGTTTCAGAGAGTTATAAACATTTTTGTTAGATATTTTGAGCTGAAACTTCTCACATACACACTCTAGGGCAGGGCTATTCAATTGGCGGCCTGCAGGCCACATGCGGCCCAGAATCAACCTCCGAGTGGCCCAGCCCATGGTTCCGCCCATAGATAATAAATAAATATATAATATTCATAAATTGTTATTTAATATAATTTTATATATATTATATTAATATAAATATAAAGTATTTATTATGTCTATGGTCCCACCAAAAACGCACATTTCTACATAATTACGTAGCCTGCAACACACAAACAATGCAGAGGGTGCCGGTAGTAGGTTACTTACTATCATTAGCTCCGTCCCAAATCGCATACTTATGCACTATTCTACGCCATTTTGTAGTATTAATAGTGTAAGTAGTGTGTTCACACTGAAAACTCTAAAAATAATGAGTGCACTTTAATTACCCGGATGATGCACTCATTCAGCCGCTAAAATGAAGTGTGGAATGATGGACACTTCACGCACTCAACGACCACAGGTTTGCTTACGTAGCGGAAGGGGCGGAGCTATCGGGCGCACATGTTGGATAACTTGATTTACTTTGGATTGTGAAAGCAAAATTTTACTATGAGAGTGATTATGGCGCCTCCCGATGGTGAATGCGGTTATACTCACGGCAGGTATTATTTGATAATTCGGTCGTTTATTTCACTGATTTGGCAACAGTCAAACGTCGTCAGGGAAACGGTTTGAATTTCCGCTCAGTAAAAAAACATTAGTGTGCCATTTGCGACGACACTACATACATATACTATCCTGTTGAGTAAGTGCAAAAGTACATAGTGCATGAGTGTATAGTATGCCATTTGGGACGCAGCTATTGTCTCTCTCAACACTGAAACATAAAATTGCCAATGAAAAGCGTAAGTTTCATCCTGCTTGGACTAACAAATACTTGTTTATTTCACAGTTGTGATAACAGATTTCATTGCGATGTTGAAAAATAACTTCGCTGGTCGACTTGATCTGCCCACAGAGTTGGCCGTTTTTGTCAGAGACGCCTTCACTGTTGCAATAGAAGGGGACTTATCCACCAGAGCTAAGAAACTGGTTCCTTTCAATGACGAGGGGAAATTCACCTGAAGTCACTGCTCTCGTTCAAAACAAAAAAATATCACTTCTCCCACTAAATCAGTGGGAGAAGTGTCAATACTTTACATCTTGCAAAAAGGGGCATGATAGGTCCTATTTAACATATAAAAGCAAATGTTATAGAAAACATAAGTCATTTTTAATTGTAAGAACAATAGCTGTCTGTAAGTCTTAGCGAGGGTGCATTTATACCGAGTACAACAGTGAAATATTTTTACAATTTAAAATAACTCTGTGTTATTGTATACGTAACAGGGCGACATGGTGTCTCAGTGGTTAGCACTGTCGCCTCACAGCAAGATGGTTGCCGATTCGAGTCCCGGCTGGGTCAGTTGGCATTTCTGTGTGGAGTTTGCATGTTCTCCCCGTGTTGGCGTGTGAATGAGTGTGTATGGATGTTTCCCAGTACTGGGTTGCAGCTGGAAGGGCATCCGCTGTGTAAAACATATGCTGGATAAGTTAGCGGTTCATTCCGCTGTTGTGACCCCTGATGAATAAAAGGACTTAGACAAAGGAAAATGATTGAATGAAAGTGCATCATTACAATATTAATCTCTCTTTTTTATGATAATTAAAATCATCATCATTACTTCACAAAAGGTTGTAGTCGAAAATGTAATCTTACTGCCAGTGTTGACATATATAAAACAAATGGATCCAAACTTAATATTTTCAGTTTGACCATTGTTTCAAGAGTTCACACTTAGCCCATGACTTACGAAAGCTCCTTTGGCATGCTGTCCCGGGAGAGAGCCCTGAGCTCAAGGCATTCCTAGAGTCCAGGGCTCCCTCCCTTTGTGGGGCGAAGGGAGATTGAGCTCAGGGCGATCTCAAAACTCCCCCGCAGCTAGCCAAGGTGAACTTCCTGAGAGCGAGATGACTAATAAAAGAGACTTAGGTTTAATAGGTCTATGATGCAGAGAATTTTTTTTTTTTTTTTTTTTTTGAGAGAGAACTGCAGGCTAGCGCCGCGCAGAGATACCAGAAGCTCAGTAGGGAGCCGGAGCTATTGGTATTGCTGCTGGGCCGCCGAGCTACCTATTTTGGATAAAGGTAGAAGAAGGGGGAGGAGGGGGGATTCTTCAAGACAAAGATAGTTGTAAGTGGAAAAGGAGGAGATATATATGGGAACTAGGGATCCTTGATTGAAGGATCGTGATTAGCTAATATGAGCCAGCTGGTTTAATCATGAGTACGTACTCCTCTCGAAATTAGTTTAATAAATTAAACTTCACTTATTTGTTTCTCACATTTTTTCCCCTCCCTTCATTTTATTTGACTACATTTTAATTTCTATCTAAATTATTTTATTTCTTTATTTTACATTTGCTTAGCCTATTGTGACTCGTTGTGTGAGCATATATGTACAATAGATGAGTGAACATATAATGGAACTTTTTTTTTTTTTTGTCATGGAATTTTTATTCTTGCAAATAGCATTTTACATTTTATAACAATCCACAAAACAAAACAATCCCCAATTAAAACAATCAACATTTACAAATGAATAAATGAATAAATAAAATAAACAAAATAATAATAAATAAAATAAAATACAAATACAGAAAAAAAATTATATAAAAAAAAATTACAATTACAAACCATATACATACATACACATGTACCTTCACTCAATCCACATCTAAGGTTTTTAAGTGATTAAAGAATGCAATAAATTGTTGCCATTTTTTCAAAAAAATGCTCTCCCCTACCTCTGATATTGTATTTAATTTTCTCAAGTTTTAAAAAGAAGACCAAATCTTTGAGCCATAATGAAATAGAGGGGGGTTGTGGGGAGGTCCAAGACAAAAGTATTCTGCGCCTAGCGAGAAGAGAGGCAAAAGCCACAATGTCAGCGTGTCTCCGGTTTAAAAGTTGACACTGAGAGGGAACACCAAAGATCGCGATTAAAGGGCAAACAGCTAACTTGACCCCCAGGATATCTGAAACAATTTTGAAGAAAGTAATCCAGTAATTTTGCAACTTGGGACAAAATACAAACATATGACCAAGGTTACAAGGTGATAGTTTACACTTATCGCACATATCAGAAACATTGGGATACATTTTAGAAAGTTTGGCCTTTGAGAGATGAGCTCTGTGTATCGTTTTAAATTGTATAAAACTAAGTCTAGCGCATGAAGTGGAGGTGCGCACATTGTCCAATACTGCACTCCAGTAGTCAACTTCAAACTCTAAGTCAAGTTCCTCTTCCCAGGCCCTGATAGCTTTAATATTATGAGAATTGTCCTTTGACAAAATAATTGCATATATTTTAGAAATAATCCCACTAGTATGAACATTCAGTTTAAATACCTCTTCCCATGGAGACTTCGTAGGCAGGGAGGGAAACTCAGAGAACAGAGAGGAAGCACAATGTCTAATCTGAAAATAACGAAATAAGTGGGAGGGGAGCAGGTTAAATATTGATGAGAATTCCGAAAAATTTACAAACACATTGTTAATTATAATGGAACTTTTATCTATTTGTATTGCATGTATGTATATATTATGACACGATGCAAAACAGATTAAAAATAGGCATATTGTTTAGAAATGGTGCTGTGGGGTGGGGGGGCTCTGTTGGAGCAAAGATAATTTGTCTCTGTTTTTCAAATACTTTTGAAATGGATGTTTTATTGACCAAAATGTAAATAAAAAGATTTGAAAAAAAATCATCATCATAAAAATCATTAATTTATTAATATTTAATAAAGTCATGATTATTGTTTTTTACCCATTCTAATGCAATAGTAACTCCCACATCATACAACACTAATCCTCCCTGCGAAATAAAAATATCAATTCTTACTCTGAAAACTGGACTGACACCGTTTCAGTTCACTACAATCTTGTATCTGCTTTGACACAATCCACATTGTAAAAGCGCTACACAAATAAAGATGAATTGAATTGGATTACAGATCAAATAAAAATCCTAATGTTTAAATAGCAATGTGAATCCAAACATGATCTTCACTTCTCTTTGAACAGTACATTTTTTAATGCGCTATATAGAGAAAACGGTGTCCTAAAAGACCAGATTTTCTCCCAGAAACTGAGCTGGATAATGCTGGCACATGACATTCCTCTCCTGATTAAGGCTCTGCTGATTCAGCATGTAGTTGGTAAAGACACTGAGCAAAGCAGTGAACCAAAGAAAGACCTGAACATCAGTCACGCCGCTGCTTCAATAATAAACCAGCGCCTCTAGTCTCTATATACGGCCGCATATGTGAAACCGTTTTTATTTTTTAAAGGACACCACATATGCTTAATACACAAATAAACTTCATTGAAGATGAACACACAGACATCACCTAAATGCAGGGGCAGATTCATTATTATTTAGTGATTTGGGGGCCCTATTTCATAGCTATTTCAGCCATGGGGCCCAAAATAGCTATTTCAGCCATGGGGCCCAAAATGCACAGGCGGACACATTTACGCATATTTTTACACCCTCATCATACAAAATAGGATGAAAAATGATGTTATATATAATTTATAGGTATAATTTATTCTACTTGGTATTTATTTGGGAGCCCTCAGATTTTCTGGTGCCCTGGTGCCTTACCTTGTTTATTGGTGAAATCCGCCCCTGTCTACTATATAACTGCAGGTTAACTACAATTGTATATAATAACACCTGTTAAAAGCTAATAGGTACTAGTTAATTAGTTAAAGTTATTAGGAATTAATGTCGGCGCCAGTAGCCTAGTGGTACTGCGCGCTGACATATAGCACTAACGTGCCCACGGCGACCTGAGTTCGATTCCCGGCTCGAGGTCCTTTGCTGATCCTTCCTCTCTCTCTGCTCCCAATGCTTTCCTGTCTGAATTCTCTACTGTCCTGTCATAATAAAGGTGAAAAACCCCTAAAAAAATAATTATAAAGTTATTAGGAATTAATAAAGTGGTTATGGTAGGGCTGGGCGATTTTTCCGATTTTTTTCGATTAATTCGAATTTACGTTTTGACGACGATTTTATTTTATATTAAATCGAGAATCGCGATTTTTTTAAAAATATATACATTTAATAGATTATAATGGCACCAATGCGCTTTGATTCACTCTCTGTATGAAGCAGGAAGCACACAAGCGCCTCTCGGCGACGCGCTCAGGTTTCTATACACACACCGGCACCGCCCAGCCACGATTCAGGACGCAGTTCATTTTTCAGTCGCACCACAGAGAGCCATCTGATTCGTTTAATGTTAAATATCATGTGAATGTGCGCGTTTGGTGTGTGATAGTTTAAACTGTCACGGGTGCGCCGTGTCATGGCGCTTCTGGTGTGCGACCTGCTTGACTGCCTGTTAAAGCGTGAAGTCATGTAGGATTTTACTTGTTGCATTAGTCTGAGTCACGTCTGTGTGGATTGTCAAGACATATTCCCTCATTAAGTCGATAAACTCGATCTCAACATGTATGAAGTACTTAAAACTCTGCCATGTGAAAAACCGTGCCGATCTTTTGGTTTGAACACGAGCAGAGGTGAGGGACTGTAGCAGTGAAAATGAAAGTACCCGCCCCCATGACGACATTTAGCGGACCTAGTTGAAAACCAGACAGATCAGGCAGCATAATACAGAGAGTGGAGCAAAGCGCATCAAATGATCGATATTTAAAAGAGGGAAATAGAAAAAAAGATTAAATAAATTAATTTATATTAGAAACATCTGGTGCTTGTATTTGCTCCTGCTATACGTCCACAACTTCACACATTGGGTTAAATTAGGCTTTACAGTTTCCATGTTCAGTCCTTTAATTCCACTGTATCTTTTAAAGAATAAGGCAGCAGCTTTACAGCCTCATTCAATCAGAAGACAAAGCAAAGCCGAGCTGACAGCCAATCTTTCCTAGGGTCAGCAAAATTTGCAAAAAATACCCCTGTATTCCTGCAACTGCAATATTTACACACATATTTCTTATTCAAATCTTCAGCAACGCTATTTAACTCGTGAATTTGTTTTACATTTATTTACACCCTGACTGATTTTTGTTTGACATGGCCATTAAAAATACAATGTTCCTTAACCAGATGGTTTTTCAAGTTACTTTTAAAGAGAGTGTTACTTCAGTCATGTTGTTGTAATGTTTTGAGAAGACTAGTAACACAATAAAAAAATTTTTTTTAAAAAAATCGAAAACCTAGATTTTATTTTTTTGCCAAATCGCCCAGCCCTAGGTTATGGTATTTAATAAGCTTAACCTCAGCTATCTGAAATTCAAGTACTTTCAAGAAGCGTGGGAGCCCTGTCTGTCTGAGTAAATGCTCACTTTCATTGCATCAGTTTTTTTTGAAAAAGCCAGGAAGTCATGTGTTTCCCTCAGTGGATAAAACTGTGTGTGTCCCTTTAAAATCTCATCATGGTTGATGTGTTTTACACGAGATCACTTCGGTCTGAGCGAGTCTGATGCTGTGGACTGTGCTGCTGCTCCTTTATAATGTGAATCAGTGATGAAGGATTGTCCAGCTCATTTCTGCTTTTTTTATAAATAGTTTTGTTAAAAAAATAATAATAATTAAGACGCTTTAAAAACCAATACCTCACCATGTGATCTCTGACATTCCAGTGGGATTTAATACATACTCTGGTCTATGAACTTAGTATATATACAGATGTAGTCAGAATTATTAGCCCCCTTGTTTATTTTTCCCCCAATTTCTGTTTAAAGGAGAGAAGATTTCTAAACAGAACACATTTCTAATCATAATAGTTTTAATAACTCATCTCTAATAACTGATTTATTTTATCTTTGTCATGATGACAGTAAATAATATTTGACTTGATATTCTTCAAGACACTTCTATACAGCTTAAAGTGACATTTAAAGGCTTAACTAGGTTAATTAGGTTAACTAGGCAGGTTAGGGTAATTAGGCAAGTTATTGTATAACAGTGGTTTGTTCTGTAGACTATCAAAAAAATATGTAGCTTAAAGGGGCTAATAATATTGACCTTAAAATGGTGTTTAAAAAAAATTTAAAAACTGCTTTTATTCTAGCCAAAATAAAACAAATAAAACTTTCTCCAGAAGAAAAAATATTATCAGACATACTGTAAAAAATTTCACTGCGCTGTTAAACATCAATACTTGCTAATAATTCTGAATTCAACAACTGTGTGTGTGTGTGTGTGTGTGTGTGTGTGTGTGTGTGCGTATAAAATTAAGATTTTTAGATCTTTCCCATGTATTTAAAATGTTCTGTATTTTATTCTTATAAATCATTCAGTTCAATAACAGTTGTGACCATAGATACATTCGTATTGAAATTCATTTGCCGTCAACATGATCAGTTTATCTTTTATGCCAAAAATTATAAGAATATTAAGTAAATATTATGCATGTTTTACGAAGACATTTTCCTACAGTGATATTTCACATTTTAGGCACTTAATTGGCATGACAAATAACTGTACATTCGTATTGCCAAAGCAGTGCAGCGTCGCAAAAAGGGCAGTAGCGCAAACAAATATGAACATAAAATATAATACAGAAATAAAGAAAATAATATAAAGATAGATTAATCAAAATAAAAAGATTTTAAAAAATAGATTATTGGTAATATGTAAATTAGGATAAAGGTGATGACAATACTATTTACAGTAAGTTCGCAAATTAAAGAGTTCCTGTTGTTGTGTGTTGGAGACAATGGAGTGGGTCATTGTGGATTTCTCAGACGGTGCACAAGCTGAGCTGCTAACACACAGCAGCACACACACTCCCCCAGTAAGATGGGCATATATATATATATAATTTATTTTATTTTCAATAATTGACTTATGACTGGTTTTGATTTCCAGGGTCACAATTTAGTTTCTTAATGATGTTATAATTTTACTAATAAAACAATTAATGCAATATGTAAATAATTTCATTGATTCATAACATTTATGTCATCTTTACATAAATTATTTTTCATTCTGCATATCATAAATGTATTTTTTTTTCTCACTTTTTCGATTGGTAACGAGATGATTCTCAGTTCAGCGTGTCAAATGTTGATTCGAAATGATTTGGACTCACTGAACCGAGAATGGTCTCATTACTGAGAATCATCTCATTCGAATCAAATTGAATTATTTCGAAAGATCACTTGACTCACCGAACTGAGAATCATCTCATTACCGAAAATGAGAATCGTCTCCAACCGAGAATAGTCTCATCATTTGAATCAAATATTGATTCAAAATAATTCAGATTTAATTGTTTTGAATGAACAATTGACTCACTGAACTGGGAATCATCTCATTACTAAAAACCATCTCAACATCAACTGAGATTTGTTTATTAGTCTCATAATTTGGATCAAATTTTGATTCATAATGATTCTGATAGAATCATTTTTAATGAACAATTGACTCACCGAACCGAGAATGGTCTCATAACTAAAATACTCTCATTGTTTGAATCAAATGTCTAATTTTAATTATTTGGATTTAATAGTTTTGAATAACCATTTGATTCACTGAACCAAGAATCGTCTCATTACTGAAAATCGTCTAATTGAATCATTTTGAATCAACACGAACCAACTCACTAAACCGAAAATTCTCATTACCGATAATCGTCTCAACATCAACTGAGAATCATCTCATCATTCGAATCAAATGTTGATTCAAAATTATTCTAATTGACTCATTTTGAATCAACATAAACTCACTGAACTGAGAATCGTCTTATTAGCGAAAATAGTCTCACCATCAACTTAGAATCGCCTAATCATTCGAATCAAATGTTGATTCGAATGAACATTTGACTCACTGATCCGAAAATTGTCTCACTACCAAAAATCATCTCAACATAAACCAAGAATTGTCTCATCATTCAAATCAAATGTTAATTCAAAATGATTTGGATTGAAAAATTTTGAATCAACAAGAACCGACTCACTGAACCAAGTATAGTCTCATTACCGAAAATCTTCTCAATGTCAACAAAATCTAATCTAATCGTTCGAATTAAATGTTGATTCGAAATGATTCGGACTGAATAATTTCGAATTAACATTTGACTCACTGAATCAAGAATCATCTCAGTACAGAAACAGTCTCAACATCAACCATGAATCGTTTCATCACTCAAATCAAATGTTGATTTCGAAGTAATTCATATTGATTCATTTCGAATAAGAATCATCTCATTACAGAAAATGGTCCCAACATCAACCAAGAATCATCGCATCATCATTAAATCATTTCGAATAAACATATGACTCAATGAACCAAGAATCATCTCATTACCAACTGATTCATGCATTTACTCAATTGATTAATTCATTGATAAACTGAACTGAGAATCGTTTCATTACCTTAAACAGTCTTAACATCAATCGAGAATCGTCTCATCATTCAAATAAAATGTTGATTCGAAAATATTCTAATTGACTCATTTCGAATCAACATGAACCGACTCACTGAACTGAGAATCGTCTCATTCATGAAAATATTCTCAACATCAACTGAGAATCACCTCATCATTTAAATTAAATGTTGATTCGAAATTATTCAGATTTAATTTTTTTAATTAAACATTTGATTCACTGAACCGAAAATCGTATCCACATAAACCGAATCGTCGTCATCATTGGAATCAAATTAAAAATAATTTAGAATTGAATTGTTTTGACTCACATTTAACTCACTAATCTGAAAATTCGCTCATTACTGAAAATCATCTCAACATCAACCAAGAATCGTCATTGTCATTGGAATCAAATTTGAAATAATTCGGATTCAATCGTTTTGAAAAAAAATGTGACTCACTGAACCGAGAATCATCTCATAATTCGGATTGAATCGTTTCGAATGAATATTTGACTCACTGAACCGAGAATCGTTTCATTACTAATCGATTCATGCAGTGAAAGCGATTCATGAAAGATTCGGTTTAAAAAATGTATTCACGAATGAGACACAGCAAGGAAGACTACACACAAATGATGCTTTGCAAGCTTGAAAACATCAGAGTACCGCGTTGTACACTGCAGTGATAAGATATTAATCGATAATCGGGCCTCTTGATCCGGAATGAACTTTGAACCGGCTCTCCGCGTTTATGACACTTTCCCCAAACACTTGCACAATAGTGAGCTTTCATCAGTCTGAGCCAGTATTCATGCATCTTTTAAAGGTCATATTTAAAAACATCAATTCTCTTTAAACACCAAAACCATACAGGCGAAATAAAATTGTTTATGTTTGTCTGTCGTAATAAAATCAACAGTTATAATTTCATAATTGTACCCCAATGGCACAGAATGGTTCAAAACCAGTCGATACCGGTTAGGTGGCTTCCATTGAGGCATCCAATATGTCATGAACCTAAATATGAATGATATCATTTATAAGTATCATTATAAAAATATATATTAGAGGTATATTCCATATTGTAGATCTGAATAAATATTAATTTTATCAGTAAAAGCATCAGTGCAACTCCAGCTGTGCATCTCTCTATCAACCTCTGGATGCCACATCACAAATCCAGCTTTACATTCTGATGCGGGCAGAGGGGGAAATAAGATAAAAAATAATGTCTTGATGATGACATTTGTGAAGATAGAGGCTAAAGATCAGTGCGGTTACTTACAGTGCAACAGTGCAAATCTCGGCGTCAGGGAATCACAGCAGCGGAGATCAGATCAGACTCGCGCACTGACGCTAATTTGGTATTTACGAATGAGTGTGAAGCTCGCTGCAGCAAACGCCGACCAATCAGAGACGCCGCTCAGATTTCAAAATAAAGGTATTTTAGTTTAACTCGGTTTAACTCATAGACGTTATAATATTCATTCATTTATTTATTTTCCTTCGGCTTAGTCCCTTTATTTATCAGGGGTCACCACAGCGGAATGAACCACCTACTTATTCAGCATGTTTTACACAGCAGATGCCCTTTCTGCTGTAACCCAGTAATGGGAAACATTCACACACACACACACACAATCATACACTACAGCCAATTTACTTTATTCAATTCTCCTATAGCGCATATGTTTGGACTGTGGGGGAAACCCAAGCCAGCACGGGGAGAACATGCAAACTCTACACACAAATGCCAACAATGGCCCAGCCGGTACTAGAACCAGCAACCTACTTGCTGTGTGGCTCAGTGCTAACCACTGAGATATCTTGTCACCCCATGTTATAATAAAATTATTGTAAACTGGACTCAAGTATAGTCTTTACCTCAATTTTTTAATTGTAAATAAGGCAAAAGAAATATTGTTTAAATTAATTCGTAGAGTTTACCCAACAATAATATTTCTACAAAATGTTAAAACTATTATCGAGTTAAAAATGCATTTTTTAATGCTTTAATGAAACATTCATATTTATTCTGGTCTTGCCAATATACTCAACATTCTTTAATTAAATCTGAAGCTTTTATTGCTCATAATATGTGTTTTCCTTATCTTTTAAACATGTGCTTTTGGATTATTATGGTATGGTATTATGGTATTATGGCTCTTTTAAAGATGCTGGTTTTATTATAAACGTATTATTTTCATTTTATTATATTTATTGTAATAAAATACATATAATAATAATAATAATAATAATAATGAATATAAAATTATTATTGTAATGTATGAATATAATTGTTATTGAATGTTATACACTTTTCTCAGACGTTCTCAGCGTTACAAGGCAATAAACAATAAAACACTAAAAAAAAACCAGTGAACCATTACAACAATAAAATAAAGAAAAGAAAAGCAATTCATACAGTTAATATATGCTCCTCTTTTTAGCATAAAATATTTGTATATGATCATTTTCTGTAACAAAAATGCATTTAACTTTTGCTAACTAAATTTAAATTTAAACTAAACAAAATTTAACTAAATTTGAATATATATATATATATACACACACACACACACACACACACACACACACAGTTGAAGTCAGGATTATTAGCCCCCCTTTGAATTTTATTTCTTTTTTTTTATATTTCCCAAATTATGTTAAACAGAGCAAGGAAATTTTCACAGTGTGCCTAATAATATTGTTTCTTCTGGAGAAATTGTTTCTTCTTATTTGCTTTATTTGGGCTAGAATAAAAGCAGTATTTAATTTTTTATACACCATTTTAGGGACAAAATTATCAGCCACTTTAGGCAAAAAAATTTCAGATAGTGTACAGAACAAACCATCATTATACAATGACTTGCCTAATTACCCTAACCTGCCCCTAATTAACCTAGTTAAGCCTTTAAATGTCACTTTCAGCTGTATAGAAGTGTCTTAAAAAATATCAAGTCAAATATTATGTGCTGTCATCATGACAAAGAGAAAATAAATTAGTTAATAGAAATGAATTATTAAACTATTATGTTTGGAAATGTGTTGTATAAATCTGCTCTCTGTTAAACAGAGAACTGGGAAATAAAATAAACAGGGGGGGCTAATAATTCAGGGGGGCTTATAATTCTGACTTCAACTGTATATACAGTTAAAGTCAGAATTATTTGCCCTCCTTTGAATTTTATTTCTTTTATTATTTATTTATTTATTATTAATTATTTATTTCTTTTAATAAATATTTCCCAAATTATGTCTAACAGAGCAAGGAAATTTTCACAGTATGTCTGATAATATTTTTTCTTCTGGAGAAAGTCTTATTTTTTTTATTTAATCTAGAATAAAAGCAGTTTTTAATTCTTTAAACACCCTTTTAAGGTCAAAATTATTAGCCCCTTTAAGCTATATTGTTTTCTATTGTCTACAGAACAAACCATCATTATACAATAACTTGCCTAATTACCCTAATCTGCCTTGTTAACCTAATTAACCTAGTTTAAGCCTTATTAAGCTGTATAGAAGTGCCTTGAAAAATATTTAGTCAAATATAATGTGCTGTCATCATAGCAAACATAAAAGAAATAATAATAATAATTCTGACTTCAACATGATACAGATTTATTTATTTACAGCCCAACGTAATGCTAAGGTGCCATTTTTATAATTAAAATTAAATTAATTAAAATATTCTGTAAAAAAATCTTATCACATTAATTCCTAAATACTGTATTTTTGTATTTTATAATGAAAGTGCGGTGATATGGTGGTTCAGTGGTTAGCACTGTCGCCTCACAGCGGGAAGGTTGCTGGTTCGAGTCTCGGCAGGGCCAGTTGGCATTTCTGTGTGGAGTTTGCATGTTCTCCCCATGTTGGTGTGAGTTTCCTCCGGGTGCTCCGGTTTCCCCCACAGTCCGAACATGCGCTTTAGGTGAATTGAATAAACTAAATTGTTTCCAAGTACTGGGTTACAGCTGGAAGGGCATTCACTGTGTAAAACATATGCTGGATAAGTTGGCAGTTCATTCCGCTGTGGCGACCCCATATTAATAAAGGGACTAAGCAGAAGGAAAATTAATGAATGATAAAAACGAATTAAAGGCTAAAGACCAGCATAAGGCATTTAGTAAAGGCATTAATAAAAAAAGAAAAAGCCAATAACCCAATGTTAGATGCTTGCTTACAACAAGTTGCATAAAAAGAAATAGTCAGTCAACGAAAAGACTTTTATTATAAAATCAAAGGAACGCTAATGTCTTTATAGTACTGAATGTACTTCAGAGATGTTCCCAAATCAACTTTTTTATGACATTACGATTTTTTAAGCAGGATAAACAACATATTAAAAAACAGCTTTACACGTTTGGCTGGAATTTATGTGTACTACAATCGGTCATTTACATACATTAGCGTCTAATTGGTGTATCATACAGTCAGATGGTTATGAAAACTGAATCGCTGCACACAGAGGCGACTAACGGTAATTATATAATCACTCCAAAAGACCTTTTCGAAATG